TTTCGAATTTTGTCCATAATTCGGTTATTTCTGGCCATTGGCAGATTTTCTAAACGGTAAATAAATCTATGGACCATACTGAACATGTACATACCAATCAGAATGGGCTAAGCAATTTGCTAATTAAATATTTTCCTTTTAAGTACTACAAATAATATGAACATAGTTATTGTAGATAATTGTGTGAGTGTGAACTAACTAATAAAATTGAGAGAATAATGTTTTGAAAAAATATAAATAGAATATAACTAATTATAAGTGATTTGCAATAATTAGGAAACTGTAATAATGAAGATGTGAAGAAAGATCTGATGGCATGGCGTGACTGTTCCCAAAAGAGTTACGCCAAAGAAGTGGCAAAACTGAAACAAATCAAAACTAGTGAAACAGATGCCGAGAAATGTATGGCCGCTATTAAGAAGGAGTTCGACCAATTCAACAAAGACAACCCCAACGGTATGGCTGCTATCATGACGTGCTTTCATAAACACGTTAAGAAAGAGGACCTCAACAAATGTTGAACAATATTCAAACGTCTCATAACACTATATGCGTTATATTAATATTATTTCAAATTCTATTAATTTAAATTATTTATATAACATAATTATAAAATTATATGTTAGTATCACCAAATTATTTTATTAAAAGTATAATTTATATGATCACTTATATCTCTTTAATTTAATTTAACAAGTTTGATTTTAATGTAACTATTAATGTATTTATAACTAAGATATTTAGTATTTAACAATAAAAGTTAATATAAAATAAAAGTAATTAAATATCTAATAAAAGGTTGATTTAAAATATACTTTCCATAATAGACCCTATACAAATGGAATCAAAATTAACATATATGAAGGTTAGTAGAAATTTTCAACAAAAAAACATTATTGGCTCCCTATTGTTATGCAAATGATTGGCACAATTGCATTATTTTTATTTATAAAAACTTTTATCTAAAACAAATCAAGTGTTTAATAAACGGGAAAGTTCTTTAAGTACATATAATGTATAAAATAAAAGTAGCATGCAAAACCACCAAACAATGCCAGCTTGCTTAATTACTTATAATGGTGCCTACTATATATTAAAATCGCATTATTCCATTGGTCGTCAAATTATATATTAAATTAAGACACAATACAATATTTACTTAATTATCACGCGTGCCGTATATATAAAGTGGTGATTTTTTTCAATCATTTTATAATTATAGGCTTGAGATAAAATATATATTAAGTTAACAGTCATTTAAGCACTATTTACGAGTAATATATAATTTATTTCTTTGACAAAATTATGTTAAAATTACCACTTTTAATATGCCTGGTGTTAATTGTCACCTACTCTTCAACAATGGAAATATTTACCGATGAAGTAAAGAAGAATGCAAAGATGATACTATGTGGTAATTATAATATAAACATATACTTATCGTAATTGATTTTGTTACCTATACTGTATAATTAATTAAATCACGTTTATATTAATTATTATAAAGTTTATCTTATTAAAATTCATTATAAATAAAATAAAATAAATGAAAAATATTGTTCCAAATAAACAATATAAAATATAACCAACCATGTGTAAAATCTAGATTACGTACACATAATAAGATTGCAAAATTGCTAATACAGGGACGTGCAAAGACGACGGTGTGAGGGCTGATATATTGAAATTTAAAGACTGTGTGGGCGGTCACTATCCGAAAGAGTCGGCAAACATAATGGGTATACGAGAGGCCCATATGTCTAATCCGGACGAATGCATAGAACTAATGAAAACAGAACTCGAGGGATACGCTCGGGCCGACCCAACCGGTGTGGTTAAAGTTATGGATTGTTTCAGAGCTAATTTAAACCACGAACATCTCGATAAATGTCACTAATGTTTGACCATTGGGAACATTGAAAATTAAAGTACAATTAAAATATTTTATTACATTGTATTAAAATGTACTTATTTCATTGTTTTTTTAAATATAAAATAAAGATTTTATTAATTCTGTATTTGTTAAATTATGTACTGTATTTGTAAATTTCAGCTTTTATATTAAAATTATTAATTATAAAATAACCCTTATTAAATAAAATGTATTTTTATACTATATATTTGCTTATAAGGTTTAGAAGCCTTGTTGTAAATTATGTAATCATGAACAAATGCACATTAAATAAATCACTGTTTAAAACAAACAAAATGTCTAATGTGCATTTGTTATTTAAACAATTCTTTAATATTATTTTAATAAAATATGTCATTTTATGTTTCAAAAATGTCATTTATATAATTATAATTATGGGATTTGCCAATTCAAGCAAACACTAACGATAAAGTCCATGTGAACCTATTTTTGCACCTTAACACCATTGCCAAGGCCTTATCTTAATAAATTATTAATTTAATTATATATTTTTAATAAAAATTATATAAATAGTAGAAAATAAACAAGGATCACACAGCGATGCTATACGTTAACCACAATTCGGGATATGCAATATAATTATAAAGTTTCAATAAACTCAATATTTACATATATGTCGCAGGATTATACATTGATAATAGATTGATCTATATATTTTGACTCGTACAACAATGCTTTTTACAAATTGTAAAAATTTAGTTAAATGTTTTATAACCTATTATATACACTAAGTTTACTGTCATCTTCCTCTTGCGCGCTAACGAATTACATGTATGTCGCAGGACTTATACATTGATAATAGACTCACCTATGACCGAGAATAGAAACGCGTTTAGCAAACAATTTTGACAATAAACCAATTTCCACTAAATTTGTTTTTGATTTTCTATTGAATAAATAAATTTTATAATTTGTAGCATTGTTGCACGATATGCTGCATTTGCGCTATTTATATCATTTATTAGAAATGAACGTGACAACAATGTCAGTGAAAATCATTTAATTGCGATTATCTCTTGGATCACTTCATTTGATTCCAGAGACACTAGAGACCAATCGAATAATACAATTTTACCGTCCTTTCACATATATGTTCACGAATAATATACGCTTCTATATACCGAGGTAGATTTGATGACAACGATTGGTTACGGAGCTATAAACATTTAAAGTTGATCCAAACAAACACTTTACTGCCATATATAGATTACAAAATTTGATTTATTTTATAAATGTTTGGTTAACTTCAAAAACAAATTAAATGGAAATTGGTTTATTGTCAAAATTGCTTGCTAAACGCGTTTCTTCTTTGGATCATAGGTCAGTCTATTATTAATGGATAAGTCCTGCGACATACATGTAATTCGTTAGCGGCGTTCTCCTTCTACTGTCATCTGAATCACATATATTTTGCAAGGAACAGATCTCACGAGTCGGCATTGTCACCTAATCTATACCGTGAGCAATCCCCTCCTCAAGAGTAATAACAAGATTTCAAACATAATAAATGTAAAATTTAATTTACAGTTCAAATAAAATACAAATTATCAAAATGAATAATGAATAGTTAATTTATTGAATTGTTTGAACAAAATTATCTTAAAACTAAACAAATATATTGAATAACATTGTTATTCGTTATAAAATATAGTTTTGGTCGACGCCTGTTTTTATGATATCTGTAATAATAAACATAATTATTACGATAAGTATATTTATTACTATGATTACCGTAAACTTACAATTAGTCGTTTATTGATGTTATGATAAAATTTGATTTATTTTATAAATGTTTGGTTAACTTCAAAAACAAATTAAATGGAAATTGGTTTATTGTCAAAATTGCTTGCTAAACGCGTTTCTTCTTTGGATCATAGGTCAGTCTATTATTAATGTATAAGTCCTGCGACATACATGTAATTCGTTAGCGGCGTTCTCCTTCTACTGCCATCTGAATCACATATATTTTGCAAGGAACAGATCTCACGAGTCGGCATTGTCACCTAATCTATACTGTAAGCAATCCCCTCCTCAAGAGTAATAACAAGATTTCAAACATAATAAATGTAAAATTTAATTTACAGTTCAAATAAAATACAAATTATCAAAATGAATAATGAATAGTTAATTGATTGAATTGTTTGAACAAAATTATCTTAAAACTAAACAAATATATTGAATAACATTGTTATTCGTGTATTTTATATCAAAACCAGCTGCGGACAAAAATACTATAGACATTATTATTTGTATTAATAATGCTATTCATATAAATAATGATACTAATGGCATTTGAATGTTAATCAGCAAATAACTACAATACTTTGCTTTATGATCAGAGAGAAGCGACTCGTAGTACATCGCCTTATCCTGTCTCCTAGATGTGAAACAGTAATCCAATTGGGATCCCGAATCATGAGAAGGGGATCCGATAGTTAACGGGAAAATGTTAGGTTCGCTAAGTTAGCAAAGCTAATTTAGGTTAGGGAAGAATAAGTGCAGGTATAATTTCAGCGGGTACTAATCATCAGCTAGCAGCAGTAAGAATATGAAGAAATAATTTATATCATAGACTTTGATAGCTTCTCGTTTTGGATAAGTTGGCGCAATATAAATAACCAATACATTGGTATTAATCGCGTTTAGCATCACAAACAAATACTCCATATGACTGTTAGTGCTTTCAAAGAAACCGCTATCGCTTTCACTGTAAGTCGTGTAATCATTTCGAATATAAAAGTTAATACCAAATGGCCGATCACACCCTCGCGGTCCGCTTTTAAAAGAATGGGACAATCGGTAGCCATTAATTGAGTGACCATTTGCTCGGCACTCCACGATCGCCAAAAATACACATTTCTTTACGTTTTTATCACTCATTAAATGAGACGATTTGCCGGCAAAATACGGGACGTTTTGATAATACAAGCATATCTGTTCTTCAGTTATTGTTATGGTATTTGGAAACTCGAGCCGTGCGTCTTCATTTAATCGTTTAAACTCTTGACTTAATTCACTGGTCTCGTCACGTAGTTTAGGAAAATTAATAATATCGGATCCAACCAATTGTAGACCATGTGCTGTTCTCGCTCGACTAAACGCCGTATACATCATAGGGGCTGTGAACCGGCCTCTCAAGTCGACAACTAATTTATCATACGTTTCGCCCTGACTCTTATGTATAGTTATTGCTTCCGCTATAATGACGGGAAACTGGCGGCGATGGACAGCGATATATTTATTCGTTGGCTTGACATTGATATCCCGGACGATTCTATCAATTGGAGTTAATTGTTTATCGCCGTATAATGTCTGTCTATACTTAGATCGAGCGGTGCGGCCGATATCGCTCTCTCCAAAATCAAACCAAAGTCGTTGTACTTCATTCGAGCCGGCTTTCAATTCAATTTGGCGAAGCCAACCAGTCGTACCGTTCGCGAGACCATCAATTATATTAATATTTGTTGACACCATGTATCGAATGCCAGTTTTCAATAATATTTGTATTGCCAGACCTTGTGTTTTCGCGGTGGCGTATGTGGACACAGTATAGAGAGCTTGTTTTCTAACAGTTGATGAATGGCTTTTAGAAACAGTATCGACGGCATCGCTGATATAACCGGTACTCTTATTATTGCACACAATTAGCGAATTATAATCGTCGACTGCTTGGTTTGTAGTAAACAAATGAATCACTCCGTTATCGCCAGACTTTACAATACATCGTGTGAATAACTGTTTATCACTATCAGTCAGACATCCGTTTGCCAAATTATTCAATGCTTGGGCGAACTCCAAGTCCTCTCTCTGTCTCATTATCTCATATAAACGAAAGACTTTAAACAAATGCCACAAAAATTGATTCGTCAAAACATCATAGCCTCGCGACGGGTTCTTATAAATGGCGTTATCACGGACGGGGGGCAATTGATTCAAATCTCCAACCGCGAGAACTGACACTCCACCGAACGGGTCTGTCTTATCAAATATCTGGCGCAACACTGAGTCTATCTCTTTGAATTTCTGGGCACCGACCATAGATATTTCGTCAATTATCAGTACTTTCAAATGCCAGAGTTTTGATCTCAACGTCGACTTCTTATCGGCACTCAAAAATTTGATTTCCTGTTTATTTTCGTTTGTTGTCAATCCAAGGGCCGCATGTATTGTCGTGCCGCGAATATTAAAGGCACTTTTACCCGTCGGTCCAGTCAACAACACTTTTATATCTTCCAGTCCACCGATCTTTTCATTTGTATTATACCAGCGGATGAGGGATTGAAAAACAGCACGAATTAATACAGATTTCCCAGTGCCTGCGCCACCCGTCAGAAAGTAGTAAAAGGGTTCTTTAATGTGCTTTACGTGACCCATTAATCCATACAAGAATTCTCGCTGTCGACCGTTAAGAGATGATATCAGCTCGTTATAACTGTTATCATTGAGTTCTTGTGGACAAAGAAAACTTCCCGCCGAAGGATTATTAGTCTCTGATTTTAGTAGTTCCGTCTCAAAGGCGTCTTCATTGCGAATCAAATCGTGGATAGCATATGCATCGGCCGTCTCTTCGTCGTCAATCACTTTCCATTCATCTCGAAGATTTTGTTCGATCTCTGCCTGAATCAGATCCAAATCACTCTGCAAATGGAAGACGAACTGTTTCTCAACAGTAATTATTTGGTCATAATTCGCACGATATTTTGCTTCGATGTCACAGTCCAGCAGTTCTTTCTGTTCGTCACGCCAAGACATGTAAAGCATACATTTTTCTCGATAGTAGTTAATTGGTTCGATTTCTTTACGGAATTTCCTATCAAATAAAGGAATGTTAAGCAACTATAAAACATAATGAAAATAATTATTACCGAAATCGGATAATCTTAGACTTCTTCCGTTTAATCACATATGCCGACCGGTCTAGTAAACGATAGTATTTGGCGTTCATGTCCTCGCCATCAATATTATAACGTTC